AAGCTTAAAATTACTCACGTGTACAGCTTCCGATGGATTTCTAAAAAGTCAGAACGATCACTATTCGTTTGTTAGTGAATGTTCGCCTTTTCTAAAAACGACTTCGACAAATAACCTGGCCATCGCGTATATAAAGCTATGCCATTAGAGATATTTCACGGCTCTGTAGAAGCATGATTGCAGAATGTCCGCCTCTTGTGGGGTAAAACGCAGAGCAATCGTACCTGGTTCGCACCATGGGGCTGGCGTCGGCATTACAACGAATAGCCGAGACTTTAATTATTGAGGTAGTGTTTTGGCGGAAAAGCAATTTTTCCGAAGCGCCTGCTCGCCGCCCGATGCGCTTGCAGTTTTTCTTCATTAGCAAGTATTTTTCATCCCTTTGGCGCCATGAATATGTGCGAAACGACCACTAGTTTCAAACTTATTTAAATATGTTATGAAGACGCAAAGCAAATTATGGTTGCTTTTGACATAAAACTATATATCCTGTGTTAATGATGTGCGCGAAATACGTAGGAAATATATGAAGATGTGACGAGAAATTGTTGCCCTCTCGAGATTATACATTATGGGACATTGTATACGTAAAATATACGAAATTTCTTACAGTAATAATGTTCAATAAAGTTTACGTTTTGGTGGAATCAATTTATTTACTAATAAACTTACTTTAATAATAATAAAGTTGTTAATCAAATGCAAATATGAAAATTTAAAGCAATATTCTTTTAAATTACTTTTATTAGTTCTAACTTTGATATAATTTTTTATATGGTGTTGATGTATAATTCCTTTATTAACACTTACGGGACGGCACCGATTTCAAAACAATCTACTGTACCGGTTGTAAACTTGATTTCATTGTGTATGTTATGCAATTTGTTTGATAAAAATTTGTGGTCATTGAAGGATACACTTTTATGATATTAATTGGTATATTGATTGTTAATTGTATAAAGAATGGTGACATTCAAAACAATTTTCAAAATGCAATGCTGGTTGATTTTTATATGTTTTACAATAAAATGTTGTTCGCCTTCCTTCTGGTGCTTTTCTGTCAAAACAGACAATACAATCCCTTTTTCTTTCTCTCGCATTTAGAATATGCCACTGATTAGTCAGTATATTTGTTCATTTTTTTTGTTGCCATAATGGTTTGTTTTATCTATTATATTGTCTAATAATTCATTTGTAAAATATAAAGTAAAATAATCTATTGGATGTCTTATATTGCTTGGTATTTGTAGTCAGAGTGTTTGTTGGTGGATGTCAAACTCGATTATTGAAGGAGAATTGGCACATTCGCTAATGTCTTTCCGCTCTTTATTTAATTTGTTAATCTTCTTCTTCTTCTTTTTGTTGGTTGGATAATATCATCATCACATTCATTTCTATCTTCGGTGCGAATAGTAATTCCGTAAAATTTGTCTGTATGAGTGTCTATTTGAAACTCGTCTTCACTACAGTCGTTCGGTCGTTTTAATAATAGCAAAGAAAAAGGGTAAAAATACTACTAAAATAACTTGAAATTATTTTCAAAATACAACACTGTTTATCACTGCTATATGTAATTTATTCAACTTTTTGATGCAAACTGAGTCATTGTTTATAAAATAGCTTGTGCCTCACAAAGTATATTTGTCCACCCAGGTGGACAGCCGTCCCCAAAGAGTTAAGCTAAGATTATTAAGGAGCTACTTACAAAACAGTATAATATAACTTCTTAGGATGAACATACCAAAGTTAGTTCATAATGCAAGGAATCAATATTCTATTCATAGGTACGATATAGCTCTGAACCACAATATACATTATTTATCCTATTTTGTTCTATTGTATCTAGTGTAATTGCAATTTAGCATATTACGTGGTTTTGCATATTCATACCATAATGCATTTCATTTTTTACAATCGCTGATGGTTCGCAGTGATGAGCATAAAAAAGCATTTTATCAGTTTTGTTTTTGTTTGATTATGAATCTGTCACACGCTTAAATTATTCCAAATGCAAAACAGACTGAAATGTCATGTACGCATAAATGGACGTAGCGTTCTGACTATAGGATCAGGATCAGAAACTTTGAACGTAGAGTAATAATATAGGACTAGGAGGTTGAGAATCCACAAGTAATTTGTTTGATCTTTTTATTTGTGGAAATATTTATAAAATTAATTACTTTCAATTTTATACGAGCTATAATACAATATAACCTGTTAACTGTGATTGATGAATATACACATCATAAAGAAGTGGCAGAATGAGTGTGTTGAGGGGTATACTAGTTATGCGTATAAATCTTTGACCATTGGCTATGTAGATCACAATTTTGAAAAAAAACAACATATTTTCAAAATTCAAGATATTTAGAATATTTTGAGGCTCCGCTCGAATAAAATAGTTGGCATAATTAGCACTTCACCTTAACAATATTTCACCTAGATTTTGATGAAACAGCGCGTCTAGTACAATGAGAACGCCACAACTAGTTAACTAAATTATTTTTATTATGAAATCATATTTCCATATTTCTATATTCCCACTATTGATCTAATTGAGAATTTATAAGTAATTTTATAGCTAATAACATTATTAATTAACAAATCCTTTTGCAGATATTTTAATATTTTTGATTGGGCACATTGCATTAGCACTATGTTGGGTTTGCTCGCACAGCCTCACAATTCTATGCCATAAGTCCATATTGGTTTTACTACCTTTCAAAGATTACAACTTGATTACGACAACAAGAAAAACTAAGAAATTTAATAAACATTTATAACATACTTGAATCATGAGACTTTTACAGCATAAAGAAAGGGCTAAGAATGAAATGGTTATAAAAATTTTGTGAAGCTGCTGTTCATGGAATATTCAAAATATTTAAATAGGATATTTAAAATCGTCGGCGCTTAAACATCGATTTTGTCTTTAAAATATGATTCTCATCGCTCATTTCTAATTGCGACTCGACGCATGCAATGCGTTCCGTGCTAATTACCGTCCGCATTATTTTTTGCCGCTGTCATCAGGCAGCGTTCAGTTTTTGCTGTCGGCTCAGTTACCGCTGATTAACGGCCTCTCTAATAACAAGCGATGCTCGGACATCGGCTACAGCACCCTTCCGTTTTGACCCATAGGGACACGTACGGAATCATCTCGAATGCTGGGAATTCTCATCACGTACGTTTGCATGTTGTGTATTTAATTGCGGCTCCAAAGCCGCCCAACCCTTTCGGCATCCCAGGGCTGTAACTTGTTTGTATTTATGCGGATTTTTTCTCCTACGTCGCGGCTATCATATGTACGTTTCCCTTTCTCTCTAGTTTTAATTTAATTTTGTATTCACAGAATTGGTTAAAATGTATGAGCGTATCATCTTTATGTGCGGCTTTGCCAGCTAACGAATTAAACCCTTTGATACATGGGGAAAATAGATAGTACTATATTAAACCGACCTCTATTGTATATTTCCATTGCTTTAAATTGGTATTCAGAACAAACTCTTTCTCATTAAAGAAATACATGCTCTTCTAACGAATTTGGTTAACATTCAATAATTAACCCTCTATGGGTCCAATTTTTGTTTTACATCAATGATGATTAGGTAAACAAAAAATTAGTAAATATAAGCCTATATTTGCAAATGGAAAACAAAATTATGTTTTTTTTTTAATTTTAGTTTTAATAGCAATCAGAATACATGACAATTCTATGAGCTATCTGGCTTATGCCATTCACTCGCACACATACACACACTTTTTCAAGCACACATATAGATTAATCTGATAAATATTACATTGATATTTAGAGAATCACTTCAATAAGTGATTCTACTATTCCGTACACATAAAGTTATAATAGTTCTAAGGGTCCCCCATATTATCTTTGGGCAGCTTCTTCTTCAGTCTTATTGAAGTTGGTGTTTCAAGAAGCTGAATGACTATATATTTTGTATGATGTTCTAGTTTTTGAAAATGTTTGACACTGTTGATTTGTATAATTCTGTTTATAAATTCAATATGAAGATCGTCGTGTAAGGTTTTATTGCTAACAAACCACGGAGCATCTATAATCTGTCTCAATTAGTTTCGATTGAGCACGTTGCATTAGCACTATGTTGGATTTGCTCTCACAGCCCCACAATTCTATGCCATAAGTCCATATTGGTTTTATTACTACGTTGTAAATCAGAAGGTTAGAAAATCTAGCAAAGATCATAAATATTGATATTGGTCGTTTTGACAACGTTATAGAATTAAGATTTACGTCAACTCATTAAAAAAGTCATAATTATTTGGTAAAATATCGAAAAATTTGGAATGTGACCGGAAAGTTAGGCTGGTCCCCAGAGCGTTAAAATTCACAAATCTTGGTTACCCACCACCACCAGCTAATGGCAAATATAGATCAACATCCTATTTAGTTACTTAAACATTAAACTCATCAAATTTGCTTACACATTATGATATTAAAATTGCCCATTACCCTGTTTATCTTTTAAACGTTGCAATCCCTAGTCCTAAGGGGTGCGTGGTTTGTCATTTTGTGCTGACATCGGCTATACGACAACGTTTTATTTATTCCATGCGTGCAACGATGTTCGAAATTTCGACCACATTTTGCGCTAATGTCTACAGTTTAAATACATTGTTTCTGATTTATAGCACGGGCACAATATCGGTGATTTTATGGCCATGGGATAAAGTGAAATTCTTCGGTGATGGAATCGCTTCTCAATTTAAATATTTTACAAAAATATTGTATAATGGAAAATGTACAATATTAATTAAGTTTCATCATATAATCAAAATTTTTGAAAATACAAATAATTTTATTATGTTTCATCGTGTTAATATTATTCACGTTATTTTTTAATTTCATTCCATTTTATATATTATAGTTTCGAACTATATGATAATCAGTATTACTTGCCCTTAAAGCATATTTATTCGTAGTAATTATTGAATATGTAAGTAATATTTTTTTTTTATTTCAGCGGGATGCTTTGAATCTGGAACCGAGCGATGTAGCTAAATGCGTATCCAAAGGAAAATCTGAGGTAAGAATTATTATTTATTTGCTAATTTAAGGTATATATATATATATATATATATATATATACCTTAAATTAGGTATATATATATAATATAATATATATATAGTAAATATATATATATATATATATATATATATTAGGGTGGTCCTTAAAATGGTCATTTTTGAATTTCCTTGCTCGCAGGGGCTCAAATGGTTCCAAATAGATAAAAAACAATTCTCTGAAAATTTTAGCTCTTAATATTAACGTTTAGATAGAGCGCAATTCAATCAAAGTTTTGTATGGAAATAGCATAAAATTTTTTTCAAAAATTTTAAAAGTGTTTTTTAAATGTAATTTAGCAAACAAATGAATGAATAAAACTCATTCATTTATCGCTAAGTTATACTTAAAACATTTTTTTTTAATTTTCAAAAATTTTTCCATGCTCTTTCCATACAAACTTTGATTGAATTGCGCTCTATCTAAACGTTAATATTAAGAGCTAAAACTTTCAGAGAATTGTTTTTTATCAATTTGGAACCATTTGAGCCCCTGGGAGCAAGGAAATTCGAAAATGACTATTTTAAGGACCACCCTAATATATATATATATTAGGGTTGTCCTTAATATAGACATTTTCGAATTTTATTGCTTTCAGGGGCTTAAATGCTTCCAAATTGATAAAAAAAATCTCTAAAAGTTTTTGCTCTTAATATTGTCTTTTAGATAGTGCGCAATTCAATCAAAGCTTCGTATGAAAATAACATGGAAAAAATTCGAAAATTTAAAAAATGTTTTTTATGTATAACTTAGCGACAAATGAATTATAAGTGACAATTCGTGTCATGTTTTATTGAAAATGTGAAGCTCTACAAAACAGGTTTTTTATAATTTGTTTTGTAGAGCGTCGAATTTTGAATAAAACTCATTCATTTGTTCGTAAAGTTATATCTAAAAAAACATTTTTTAAATATTTGAAAACTTTCCCATGCTATTTCCATACAAAACTTTGGTTGAATTGCGCACTATCTAAAAAAAATATTAGGAGCTAAGACTTATAGAGTATTATTTAATTTTGCCGTTCTAATTATACCTGCAAAAGTTTGATTGCTATCGTAAAATAAACAATAAATAAATAATATAAATTTTATAGCAAGATTGTCTCGGTGCAATAAATATAGATTTACTAAATCATGGTAATACTTTTTTGTTATATATTATATTATCATTCGAATTGATCCCTTATATATTCAGTATCCAAATCCAGCAGTTTTGTCTACAAAGCCAGATTGTTATATTCATTCGCTTGTAAGTTACCGCCATTAAGCATAGACAAAGAACATTATCGTAAAAGCTCAGGATTTTTATATTGGGACAACTTTTATACAGTCGCTCCTCGGCGCGTCGCTTCGGTCTATTTTGAATAATAAAACAACTTTGAAAATTCTGAAAGTGTCGCATAAACTCGCGTTTTATAAATGAACATCGGCAGTAAAATACACGCTACCTAGATGCGGCTGCGGGGTTACTTTATTGTAGCAATGCATGCGAAAATCCAGAAATATGACACTCATTTCAAATTTAATCACAAACAAGTGCACGTTTGCACATGGTGCAGTGGATATTTTTAAATATATGCGCTCGACGCAACAGAATGGCATTATCTCGCCAGAGTTGAGTTTACATAATGATTTGTAAGCGGGCTCATCCCACGTGTATTATGTTTTCTTTAATAGAAGAGCTGGGGAAGAACATAAGAAATGGCTTTGGGGAGGGTTGCTGATCTGCAGCTAACCCAGCTGCAAAAATGGGCATTTTGTTCATAATTTTTCTTAATACCATACTATTGGCTTTTTTGTGACATTAATGAATTTTTAGACAACTCATACCCCTGAATCAACTTTATTTCAATGTCAGAAAAAATTAGTTACAGATTTACTCTTATTAAAATATATTATTTAATTTTTTTACTCAAAACTTGCTTATACGCTAAATACGTCTAACATCTGCATTACCCATTTTAGTGTTTTTTTTTACTTCACTTTTAAATTAGTTATTTAATTACACTTGTGTGATCTGAAATTATTATTAGAAATGATAACTATAATAGGTAATAAATTAATGTTAATTTATTGTATTTATATTTTTTTTATTTTTTTTTTATTTATTTATTTATATAATATTTTCATATCTCAGTGATATAGGAGTGTCTGGTATGAGAGATTATGAAACAATTTTCATATTTTATATACATATCATTTGTCTAATTCATTATACATTAATATAATATTTATTATAATTAAAATATCTTTAAATATCGATTCAATTTTTTTCGCCTTCAATTTCTTTATAATATCTTTTTATTTTCCTTTTTGAAGTTATTATCATCATTTGTATTATCATTATCAATTAAATTCAATAAACACTTGATATATAAAGTGAATCAACTAAATTTGAGTTAGGTTCTTAGACTGATGGTCTAACTTAAACTTTATTATAATGTTTGAGTTATAAATTTACAACAGCTAAGTTCAAGTTCCTAAAGATTTGTTAAAAACTTTTAGATATAAAATTGCATCAGCTAGTTTTGAGTTACTAGACTAATAATTCATTAGACTTGAGATATAAAACGTGAAAAATATAGATTGATTATATTATTTTATTAATATTATATTGATAAATTTTATTTTATTATTATTATTTTATTTAGATAGAGAATCAGAGGACAAGGTTTCTATAAGTCTATATGATGATGTTATATTTGGCTTTTAGAAGTCTCCTTTATTGAGGAGATCTTCTTCTAGAATAAATCTACAGATGCCTGTTAAGGATTCACACTTGTAGGTCCTTAAGCCATTTCTTATTGGATCTTCTTGTTTGGTTCATGTTGTTGATGATTTGCATTTCTCGGGTTCAAATCTTCATCGATGTTATTGTGATAAGAACAATTAGGGGGCGTCCATTAATCACGTGACCGAGTTTTTAAGCATTTTTGGACTCCTCCTTCCTCCTTGGTGATACATGGTTATGTTCAAAATTACCCCCCTCTCCCACCAAAAATCACGCGTATTTTTAGTTACGTGAAAAAACTGACATTTTTGAATTTTTTTTGAAAACTTTTAAAAAAAATAGTTAAAAAATAAATACATATGATATCTTACTATACCCCTCCCTCCCACACGTGATATTTCGTGATTTTTTCCGTACCAATGTTTATCCGTTAGAAGGCGGCGTGGCGCTTACGCGCTTCGATATTTCGTCTCTATGCAGTTAAAGCAGTACGATTGCTTTGAAAAAAAAATTCAGAATTTCCAAAATATTTCAAAATAAATTTTTCTTCAAAAAGTCTTTTTTCAGAAAAAAGTAAATTCATGTCAAAAATTTATAGTTTCTCAACAATCTAATTTTTCCAGAGTAAATTATTTTCAAAAATGTTAATCTTTTAAAAAAAAAATTATTTTTGGTACGGGAAACTCCAGCAATTTGCTTTAAGGCACGATTCCATGCGCTTCACTAGTTCAAATTTAGTTTAATATAAATAAAAAAATCTCTAGCCCATCAACTACTGTCACAAAAATGTGCAATAATTCACCCTGTGCACAATATGCACCTCGCCGCCTGCTGCGGATGTTTCGTACCTTGTAAGCAGTAAACTCATCTCAGGTTTTAATATTTTTTCTCGTAAACTTTTTCGCGCATCATTTTATGTGCTGCCTTAAACGTTATATATTTGGTAATTGTACATGTAATATGTTCCATAGAGAACGAAATTCGTGTCTGGTGCATATTGAAGAAGGCATTTATAGCTTTTATATGTCTGGCTATATTACTGAGGGAAATTGTTGTTTGTATAATGTAATTCTAAGGGCTCAGACTGTTTTTGGAAAATGATTTGGGAATAGGAAATAGGAAATATAATATATAATTTCTTTTTTTAAAAAAAAAACAACGTGAATCCAACTTTACCAGAAAAAAACATAAAAATTAGAAGTTTTTCAATAAACACATAATGAAGTATTATATAGTATGTATGTATGTATGTATGTATATATAATACATATAGTTCATGTATGGTATTCGTACAAGCCAGCGAATAGTTCTAATAGCACAAGCTAGCTAGAGTGGTCGGTCTGATTAGACGCTTCTAGTCAATTAGTCGTAGTAGCCTGCCTCTGATCTAATTGGTGATGATTCTGGGGCCACAGAAGTTCCTTGCTTCGAATAGGATTTGCTCTGGGCTCTTTGAAGACTTACAAGATCACATTTAAGATTCCTTCCGGTGCCACTTATACGAACCATAGTCTACTTATTGTTGTATACCGCTTCGTTCCATGCAAATTAAAAGATTATCCTATTATTCACTTCAGACATGTTGAATATATTGTATTATAAATAGTGATGAAATTGACGTGGGTATTGGTAATTAGATTGTATTGATTAGGAATTGGTTAACAAATGATTTAAATTAATTTGAATTCTAGATTATTTTGACAACAAACCTTAACTTTCTTAGATTTTATTATCTGGTTTAAATTATTATCTAAATATATCGAGTTGTACCCCAAAAGTAAGTTAATGTGTTATTTTGAAGGCAATGGGAAGGATGTTGAATATTTTCCTAATTGGTGAACTGCCTCTGCTGTTAATTGTTAATAGTTAATGCAGTAGCAAATTTAAACAACTGCAGGAATTTTTAACGCAAAATTTAATATTTATCGTATACATAATTACATAATTATGACAGTACATAATTAAAGGACTTTGACGATTATCATTTATATATAATATATTTGAATATTTATTTGAATATGCGGTACCCAACATTGTGGGCCAGGAAGAAAAAATGTAGATTTGAAATTACAAGCTTTTTATTCATTTACTAAGGGAGAGTCTGCTTTAGTGGCTTCAAAAAATCGCTGTTTTGAGGAATTTGTAGGGAAGGAAATAAATATTTGATTGAAACAAAACTTACAGGTTTTATTGTTGTATATTTCAACATTCTTGTCAATTTTTTTTTATCA